TCTGATCCACACTCCGGAGCAGAAGGTGGCGGTAATGCACCAATAAACTGGATGACAACTACTGTAAAACCAGAAGAAGTTATTTTAGGTGTGTGCGCGTGCGTTACCCTCTGTGCTCCAGTGTTTTCATGTTGGGGACAAGGTGCTGACGTCTTCTCCATTGAACGTCTTCAGGATGGTCGTCTTACCCGCGTTGTCCAGACCTCTGCACGAGCCAGGTTAAAGAAGGAACGCACACTTTTAAATATCCTAGTTAATTAAATTAAGACGTTAGTGGCTCTCAGAACCCCAGGTTTAGTGAACCAACAAGGCTTCTCTGTTCTGTTCGAGGTAAGACTTCTCGCATTGCTGGTTAGAGCTCCTTCACTTTGAAACTTGTACTTCATAATAGATAATACTTGATGCATTGAGAATACATTGCATCGCTTCTGCTTTGCATACTTCTCAACCTAGTTACAGGACCACGTTTTGTTTAAGCTGGCAGCTTCTGTGCAGCGTTTCAGTGACTCACCGACCAGAGTTCATCACAATCCTTAACCATCCGGCACTAAAACGCATTATTTTGAACTTATTAGTTCACTGAACATGAACGACAAAGTGTCTTCTAGATGTTGCACGGAGTATTTAGTGTGTAACACAAGTTAAACACGTTCTTGTTGAACTCTTCCAGCAATGGCCGCTGCACGTTTGGTGCGGCTGCCAGCAGTGTCTCTCAATGATGATAATTACACAGACCTGTACTGAATGACTGTGACTGCATTGAATTATTCTGATGTGAGACACTGGTTATATGTAAATGTATTTATTTTTATTGACTCGTGCCATCCTGAACTCTGCTCGTGGAGGGTCACGTGTTACCCGGCCACATGAAGTTAGCCTGCTAGCTAACGCTTCATGCTAAAGCAATGCTTTCTGTTTTACAGATGGAGACGAAACATCCAGAAACTGCTTGCTGCCAAGGTAATTTATCTACACCACGTGGCTCGTTGGGACATGCTGTAGCATCACATGGGTATTATTATATTGATGCTTTTGGGTTAACTCGACATAACCCTGAGGCCTTAATGCTACAATGATGTTCAAATTGAACTCTCTCACTGAAACTCTTTTGAGGAAACTTCACACCAAATTCTGAGTAGCATTAAACATATCTTATATGTGAGATGCGTGAAGTCGTCCTAAAACTCATGACATTGGTTTTTTCCCCTCCAGGTGTGAGGAGACTGTGGCTGAACTCTACATGAGGTAATTTAAAGATCAGCTCTTCAGATCAGAACCTGTTGACTCTGGCTGTCCAGTGATGAATCCATGAATTTTCTACCTGAATCAGCATTTGAAGAAGAAACTTCTTTACCAGATTCTGAGAAGCATAAAAATCACATTTTGTTAAATGGTAATATTAAAAAGGTCCACGTCTAAATCTGAGCTCTCCTCCTCCAGATGTTCACGGCCGATCACAGTTGAGGATCAAGAATGAAGGACGTCTGCAGGTGAGCGCGACTGAAGCTAGAAGGAACCGTCAGATTCCACAAGGGCCATAAATGATGATGTTTTTAATAGACAAGCATATGGCTGATTTTTGTGATGCGAGGTTATTAACCTGATGAGCCCTTGAGAATACTGAAGCTCAGATTTACCCCTCACTTTATGGCTAACTCTGATGTTTCTTTTCAGGTTCTGCACGGTCGACTCACTAACCTCTGCAAAGTGCACAATGGTGAGAAAAGCATGGAGTTATTTGAGTTTATTCAGTGGCGGTGTGTAAACATGATGAGTACAGAAGACAAGCATATACCTGATTAAAATGAAGCCAGCCTTCTATCTGATTACCCCTTGTAGAATAAATATAGTTTAAATTCCTCTGCATGTGATTTACACCATGTTGTTTCTCTGGTAGGTGTGTCTGTTACCAGATGCTTGAAGAAGGATGTCACCTACAAGTCATCATGTAAGTCTGAGTGTTTGTTTCAAGTTGGATGAAATGCCTCCTGCAGAGAATCTGAAGTGTTAGTTTTGTAACACTGTATTGATTACAGCATGTTAAGTTGTTTGAGAGGATGTACATAGGGTACATGTCGTCATAATGCAGTTTCAATGATGATGAACTTAGCTCACTTTGAACCAATGTGAAACGACACGAACTTCTGAGCAACTGCATTATTTTAGATTTCAGTGCCGGTTTACCTTCTGGATTGTATTTAACTTATGATGCAGCAACGATCCTATTCTAAACTTTTAATTTTCATCTCTTGCAACAGATGATTCATTCACTACTTCAACACGATTGTGGTCTAGTTGAAGGTAAGATATAAACATTTAGAGGATTGGTACCTGTAGCCTTTATTCCCAGACCTGCTGAAAATGATGAGATATATATGGAATCTCGTTCGTCTGAACTAATGTTGAGAAATATCATATCTGACATCAGCGAAGGTCATTTTAAGTTGTAATGATGTAATACGAGTAACAATCCTATTCTAAACTTGTTGCACATCTGTATCAGTCGCGTGATCTGTTCATTCAGATTTGTTTGAAAGTCAATGTAGACTTGAACATTGTGCTGTTTCCTTTGCATGTGCAGTAAATTTGTTCTCTTGCCAACAGATGATTCATTCACTACTTCAACACGATGGTGGTGAAGTTGAGGGTAAGATATAAACATTTAGAGGGTTGGTACCTGTAGCCTTGATTCCCAAACCTGCTGAAAGTGATGATAAATTTGGAATGTGGTTCGTCTGAACTAAAATTGAGAATATCTGACATCAGCGAAGGTAAACAGTGAGTAGTGTTTGTTTGTGTCCTCAGATCTGACTGTAGTCTGTTGCAGGTGTCTGGCTTTGGAAGATGCTGACATCTTCTCCACAGCAAAGGTGTTCATCCAGGTGAGTGAGCTCTTTAAATGTTAACTAGGTGATTGACACCCAGTCTGAAGTTTATAGTCTGATTTACAACTAGAAATGTTTCCTTCGTGATGACATCCGCACACGTCTTACGCCTTGGTTCAACGCCAGAACCTGAAAAGGTGGACCCACTGGTGTTACCTTGGCAATAAGGGGAAGACACGTTGGGGTTACCAACAGTCTGAATGGAAACTAAACATGGATTTGACTAAATAATGAAATTGTGACTCTGCCTGCCAGGCAGATGTGGGTGATAATGGAGGTTTAGAACATGATGTAGTGTCAGACCAGTGCTTTGAATAGAAAAATCTAAATATGTCGTCTCTTTAGCTGCTGAAGTCAAAGTGTCCTAACGAGTTCCTTGTCTTCAGCCAGTAGGACGAGCTGCCTGAAAAGCTGTGGATGAAAATGGACACGGTATGTTTGAATCTCAACCGCCACAGTGACACTATTGTAGAGTGAGATGATTAATCCTATGCAGTCAACAGTCCCCATGCTCCAGGTACCAGACTATCCATGCATGAAACAATCAACCCTGTTGGTCCGATCAGACACTGAGAACCCTGAAACAAGCGATCAGGTGTAAAGTGATCTCCGGCTCCCTGAAGGGTTCTGATGGTGTGGGTTGTTTGTTACCTGGATAATGACTGATAACACTTGCTGATCACATTCTTAACACTAGTTCTGTGCATCAACAGACGTGTAAACTTAATAACTTTTCTTCTTATTCTTTGTTCTTAGAAGTCAACCTCTATGCTGAACGGAGTATGACGTCATCTGGATTGCCCAGACTTGTAAGTTGTAGATGTCTGTCTGTGATTCTTAAAGGAACAGTGTGTAGGTTTTAGGAGAAGTTGTCAGAAATTGAATGTAATCAGCGGGGGAGGGGGGAATGTGTTAAAAGTATTTCTTTCACCTCAAACCTGTCATGGCACTCTGCCGTTGGGAGGAGTTGCAGTTGGATACGATCGTGCCACTAAATCTTACACACTGCTCCTTCAGTAGAAGTGATGAGTTTGTTATTACCGCCCCAGTCTGATAATTCATGACTGATTGGTACCCCTCTGATCACACTAGAGCTAATAATGTAGTCGTTCACATTAATCAAACTGGATGGACTAACCCGTTTCAATGGTTACAGGTTTGGTGTCGACCTCTTCGGTGTGGTGAACAGCGGACCGTTGCAGGTAAATGACAGAGTCTAGTAATGTTTCTGGGATTGTAGGTGTGATGTGGACATACCCTCCAGTCAAGAGTGTCCCACCAGGTGCCTCTTTCTCCTCCAGTCAGCCTCCTCTCCTGTTGACCCTGTACGGCACTGAGAACCCCGACTCCCTCCTTCAGGTCAAGGGATATATTAAAGATGTATATAATAAATGTGTTTATAGCTAGATGAATACATGTATAGCAATATTATTCTATATACATTAGTGGTTAGTTTAGAATGTAGATGGATATGTGTCGGGTGTAAAGTGACCTGTAGGAGTTCTGATGGAGAGGGCGCTGACTGTGACGGCATGACTGAGAACCAACCTGTGATTACATCCCAGAAGTTAAATCCTACCTTGTATTCTAATTTAACATTGTACTGGAAACTTGTACTGAAGCATGGTGTCCTGGCAAAGAAAGGCAGCATTAACAGTTTCAGACAAACGGGATGGAAACATTGTACAATGTACAAAAGATTTGACAACACAGAATTGACTTTATGTAATGGTAGTATAACACACTTAAGACTACTGCATTGAGGTGATAAATTAATGAAATGGTGGCAGAGGATCACATTCTTTGCAGCATGTTGTGGATTCATAAGGACGCATTTTATAATAAATCTAATTGTAAAGGTTGAAAGTGGACACATAGGAGTGTGACAAGTGTGGCCCATAATCATTATTTATATATAACTATTTATTTTAGGTCATGCAGTGTGAAGTTATCACATGGTCTCGATCGTGTGCTCCCTGTCCGCTCATGTTGGTGAGTATTCAACGTTCAGAAATGTTTATATTACTTGCTCGTTAATTAAAGTAGAAGTGATGAGTTTGTTATTACCGCCCCAGTCTGATAATTCATGACTGATTGGTACCCCTCTGATCACACTAGAACTAATAATGTAGTCGTTCACATTAATCAAACTGGAATGACTAAGGCTCGTCTCTTGTTGCAGGTTTGGTGATGCTGTCCAACTCTTCAGTTTGGGGAACAGCAGAGATGCTTTAAACTGCTGCAGGTAAATGAGAACATATAGTAATGTTTCTGGGATTGGGGATATGATGACTACAGGTCCGTCAGTCAAGGGCTAAGCAGCCCCTTACTCCTCCAGTGGGCTGCCCCTCCTGTTGACCCTGTATGGCACTGAGGACCCTGACCTCCCTCAGGTGTAAAGTGACCTGCTGGAGTTCTGATGGAGTGGGAGTGCTCGCTGTGAGTGCATGACTGAGAATTTCTCTGATCGCATCCCAGAAGCTAAATCCTACAGTTACACAGCTTGCAATTTGTATACCAGTCAAAAGCATGTGACCATAATGTGGTTAATACGGTTTGAATTGTACAATCTGGTATTTTATGTTTCAACAATGGTGAAGACAAAGAGGACAGGTGACTAAACAACGGTTTAAATTAGAAAATTCTCCAAAGAGGCAAACTATTATTGGCTATGATGGTTAAAAACATTATCTGATGGTAAAATGCAGCCAGAAGAGACAACTGTCTCTACAGCATGTGGATTCACAAGGAATCCAGATTTTGTAAATTGTAGATCTACTTTCCAAAGATGTTGTGAGCACTAGAACGACTTTGTCTGAAACAAGTTTCAAAATGATTCACGTCAGTTCTTTAATGAAATGTTTTTAAATATTACCGCCCAATCTGAGACGTTGTGACTGATTGGTATCCACTCTGCTTACAGACTAGGATCTTTTGTCTTGTGTTGGTGCACATTTTGATGTCTTGTGTTTGTGATCTTGTCAGTCCTGCTGGGTCTGCTGCTGACTGCTTCTGGAGTTTATGGTAAGAATTGACAACTTAAGCTTCAATATTTTCATCTAGAAGTGATGAGTTTCTTTTTACCGCCCCAGTCTGAAAATTCATGACTGATTGGTACCTCTCTGATCAACATGTTGACTTTAATGTTATGGTGTAAGTTTATGCCGCTTGTTTCTAAAATGATGTCCGTCTTTACAGACTCCGGCCAGACCGTGGACTCATCAGTCGTCTCATGCTGCAGGAAGTTTCCCAAAAGCTCCAGGAATACTTCAGAAGACATGTTTACATATTCATAAGTACCAATGATAACCTGTAGTTTGAACAGGACAGTTGTGTGCCTTGAATGATGCATTATTTGGTCCATGGACCGTTTAATGCGTTCACTTGAATGTGCATTTCCAGTTAACTGGAAAATATTTTCAAATAAATTTGTCAAACTCATAAAAGTGTGTTTTTTTTTTTTGTTTTGTTTTTTTTGTTTTTTTTCCCCCGTTTTTTATTCTCCATATAGCATATTTTATATCCCAGGATGCAAGAGACTGCAGTGTAAATCTGAAACTGCTACAAATGGCCATCAGGTTTTCTGTCACTTACTTTATTCACATCAGTATAATTGAGTTTTAAGTGATGTAGTTGAACAGTCATGTGCTGAGGTATATTAAACCTGTACTTCTCATGTGGCCTTGATAGGATTTGTGTTGGATTGCGGCAGCATAGCATACGGATCAGCAGCCAAATCTCTAATTGGTAAATTGGATGTGGTTCAGGCACAGGCATTAAGAGTATGTAGTGGAGCATTTAAAACATCGGCAATACCTGTCCTGCAGGTAGAAATGGGAGAAATGCTGCTGGATTTAAGGAGAAAGCAACTAATTTCGAACTACTGACCTAATTTACAGGGACACGATGAGCTCACTCTACCTGTCAGCCCCTCCCTTCTCATCAGTCTAACTCCCTTCACCTGTTCACTCGCCTGCGTCTGATCACTAATCAAGCCACTATATAGACTCCTGCCTCTCAAACACTCAATACCAGATTGTTCTTTGATACTCGATGCCAGACCTTCCAGCGCCTTATCCCGGGCTGATTTCCTGTTGACCCTTCCTGCCCCTGATGTGCCTGGCTCGCCTGACTCGCCAGCCTTTTGTTGCTGACTTGGAATCATTCTGCCTGCTCTTTCTGCTGCTCTGCCAGAGACTTTGCTGTAACAGTCTGTACCTGGTGAGTTTACATTAAAAGCCAACGATTCCTGGAATCCTGTGTGCTGCAACCGGTTACAGTTGCAGGTGGAATGAGAGGAGTCGGAGACAAAACTTTGGTCTGTCTAAGCCCTTCAGTAGTTTACCCAGTGATGGCTCCATGGACACTTGTGTGGCCTGGTATAGATTGGTATTTGTTAGATGTCAAAGAAAAGGATATAGTTGATTTGTTGGGTGCATTTGAATATTGTGTAGTAAGAGTACAGTGTTTATACACAGGTTTCCTAGCACAATCTGTAAATCTGAGACGAGTGGCAAGATTTGGGGTGGCAATACCAGCTAAAGGAATTGGACTCAACAGAACATCCCATAATCTAGAGGTTTACACAGTGGAGATGGAGCCAGTGCTGGTTGCACTATGATGGGTGAAAAAAACAGGTGTTTTGTGCCGACTCATCTTCAGCCCTTGCAAGTTTAAGGTCTCTTCATTTGAACAGCTGTCAAGACATACCGTATGAAGTCCTTCAGTCAGCTAAAGAATAACTAATTCGGGAGCTCAGGTTAAATTCCTGTGTACCAGCACATGTAGGGAGAGAGGGTGGATGAGTTGGCTTTAAAGAAAGGAAATGAATGTTGGCATCAGTGAGGCAGATGTCAAATGTATTATCTGGGAAAATATCAACCAAATGTGGCAAACTAGGCAGGACAGAGAGGAGAAAGGGAGACATTTATATCGTATTCAAGAGAGTCAAAGTTACCAGGGTTGGAATAGGAGAGAGGAAACTGTTGACAAGGTTACAGTTGGGCCGTAATGCAATAAACAAAACACTGAAAATGATAGAAAACACCAGACAGAGTTGTGTGGAGAAGAGGAGTCAGTTGAGCACGTAGTGGTGTGTCTGAGATGCAGATACAGATGGTGAGGAATAATCTGAGGGAGTTAGAGGTGCATGAATGCACATTAAAAGGAGTACTGAGCACGGGTTAGGGTACTATTAGCTTTATTAAGGAACACAGGTTTTTTTTTTTGTAACAGGGTATGATTGAAATGCAGGGATAAGGTACAAGGGTGCTGTTTTTTTTATTATCATTTTGTTTTGGGGTAATTATTGTAAGTCTATTGTCTGATCCACACTCCGGAGCAGAAGGTGGCGGTAATGCACCAATAAACTGGATGACAACTACTGTAAAACCAGAAGAAGTTATTTTAGGTGTGTGCGCGTGCGTTACCCTCTGTGCTCCAGTGTTTTCATGTTGGGGACAAGGTGCTGACGTCTTCTCCATTGAACGTCTTCAGGATGGTCGTCTTACCCGCGTTGTCCAGACCTCTGCACGAGCCAGGTTAAAGAAGGAACGCACACTTTTAAATATCCTAGTTAATTAAATTAAGACGTTAGTGGCTCTCAGAACCCCAGGTTTAGTGAACCAACAAGGCTTCTCTGTTCTGTTCGAGGTAAGACTTCTCGCATTGCTGGTTAGAGCTCCTTCACTTTGAAACTTGTACTTCATAATAGATAATACTTGATGCATTGAGAATACATTGCATCGCTTCTGCTTTGCATACTTCTCAACCTAGTTACAGGACCACGTTTTGTTTAAGCTGGCAGCTTCTGTGCAGCGTTTCAGTGA